ATTTTAACAAAGAAGAAAAATTCAATTTTATCAGAAAGGAATTTCCCTCGCCTTCGATCCAGCGAGGGAAATGCAATCCCCGCGCTTCCGAGCGATCCTTCGCGCCACCAGCGGTCGCCGGAAACGGCCAACCGCAGACGTCAAGAGCTTCTCTCACGAGCTCAACATTAAAGATCACCGCCTCCCCATTCAAAAACTCCGAGGACTTAGCAGCCCAGATGTAAATTACCCCTTTTCCTCATTACCCATTTCAAATTAGGGCCTTCTGTTTTCAAATCCTTGATATTAACCCTAAATTTCCCATAAAAACCGGTTCTTTTCTTGTATCGTAGGATGTAATGCGCGTTATTCGATCAAAATTCAGCCGGTTGAAGCAAGAAGTTAACTCTGAATTGGGCGTTTATGCTGGGGATTTGGTTAGCGTGCTCGAGAAGACCACGAAAAATCATCCGGAGTGGAGGGAGCAGTTAGAAGATCTATTGGTTGTAGCTCAGAAATGCGCTGAGATGACTGCGGATGAGTTTTGGGTGAAATGTGAAAGCATTGTTCAGAATTTGGATGATCGGCGTCAGGAACTGCAAATGGGAACAGTAAAGCAAGCGCATACAAGGATTCTTTTTATTCTCACCAGATGTACTAGATTGCTGCAGTTTCAAAAGGAGAGTGGTTATGTTGAGAATGAGCATGTTCTTGGCCGACATCAGTTTAGTGATTTAGGGTTTTATCCGGAGCAGGTTATCTCGGGGGATGGTGGAGGCAAAACATTTAGAAACACTCCAAGTGCAAAGGCGATTAAGAATAAACTCATAATGAAGAAATTGCAAGAGCACGGGCTGACCAGTGCTTATCTGACTCAAGACTTCGCTGGTCGCCCATTAAGTCATTCTAATGATACGGATTCACCGGGAAGTAGGGATAGGTTATCTTCTTGGAAGAAACTTCCATCTGCTGCGGAGAAAAATCAGAAGAAAAGTGATCCTGTGGACGAGCATGATTCTCCGGTGAAAAAGGTTTTAGATACATTGCCACACCTTGATAGAAGGAAAGTTCGTTTAGATGAACCTAAGGATAATCTTGAAGAGGAAGAGAAACATATAGAAGCCCAACATGTTCATATTGATGATGGAGGTGGTAAGCAAGGTATAACCGATGAGACACCGAAAATGATATGTAGGATTTGTGAGTTTGAGATACCAACCTTGCATGCTGAAAGTCATTTTAAGATCTGCACAGTTGCTGATAAATGTGACGCGAAGGGTTTAACTGTTGATGAACGGCTAGAGAAAGTTTCTGAAATATTGGAAAATATTCTTGAACCTACGGTGACAAGAACTTTAGATGTGGCGGTGATGAATCATGATGCCACTAAAGCAAATGTTGCATGTAATGGAAGTGAACTAGTTGATTTAACTCCTAATACTGCTCATGCATCTCCGAGGGAAAGTATGGAGTCTTCTCCGGAGGCTATCAGTTCTTGTACTACCATTGGGCATCGTGGTCTTCCCTCAACTTTGTGCAATAAATCTTTTGTACCTAAACTTGATCTGGCTTCCTTGGCACCTTCCTCAGGGAGTATGACACCAAGATCACCACTGCCAACACCAGGGGTTCGTCAGATTGATTTGTTACTTACAGTAAAGAGTGCATTTTCGGAGCTTGAAAACTTCCAACAGGTATTTGGTTTTTTCTTGTGAATAAAAATATTCCTCAAAGCATGCATTGGCATGGGCACTTGAGCTCATTGCTTCAGATACAAGGATCACTAATAGTACATGCACTTATGACTAGAGTATTAGGAAACAGATCACCTATAGGCAAAAAAAAAAAGGGGGGGGGGGGGGGAAGAATAACTCGTAAGTTAGCTTTTTAATAGATTGTCCTCTTCTTCATTAACAGAAGATTATCCTTTGAAAGTTACTTTGTTCCTCAATTAATATGATATGAATTTGACTATATATTCCTGGGGGTTAGTTACGTTGCTAAGATAATTGATGAAGCATATCTTGGACGATGTATGGGATGATGTTTTCTACAAAAGATCATCTCTCACATCCAAAAAGGCTACCATAGGTCCATAACTAGTAGGTACATGATCACCAAAGAAAGCATATTTTGCTAACTTTAGCAGCTCACATATACTTGATCTAATTTGATACAAAATTATAGTTAACCATTTTGTGTGAATATATCTTGTATCTATTGATAGGGTGGCTTTAGGTCAACTGTTCTTTGATTAAGTTATCTAGATCTCATATATTAACATTGTTTATAAACTAAATAGCTCTTATAAAAGTAAATAAATCGTATTTTATTGCAAATGTTACATATAGTCCCTTTTTTATCTCAGGATCAAAACCTCTCGTACATAGAGGATTTCCTCAAATTAACTAAATAAAATCCATTCAAGCTGGAAGTAGAGGGCCATATTGGTGAAACAGCCACATTACATATAATAATGTATTACTGGACGAATCTAATGTGTTTTGAGAGGATAGAACCCCTTTCGTCTTCCTCTCCCTCAACCCCCCACTCACCCCCTCCAACCAAACAAACACACACACACACACACCCACACACACCCACACACACATGCACACCCACACACACACACACGCACACACATGCACGCACGCGCGCGCGCACACACACACAGAGGAACATGTGTAAACTCACGGACATTCAGAAGTATCTAACCTAATAGCCGATGTTGTTCAATGGGAATGAAACAATTCTTGCTGTTATATTTGAGCTGAAATGGAGCGATCAATCTATATCAAATTTCTGATCAAACAAACATATGGAGATCCATTTTTTTTAATATTACTTTCACTTTTTTATGCCAAGTAAAGAAACAAGTTATTACTTATTACAACATCTTGTTCTCTGATAGGCGAGTACTTAAAACATATAGATCCATGGATGTTGTCACCAGTAGTTGACAGTAAGTCATTAAGTTATTGATAGAACATTAGCTATGCAAACAACTATGATAATTTGCTGCTAAATATATGATCAGGCAAAAACTGTGTGTTTATCTTATCTCTTATATCAGCACAACATATTCAGGGATCTTACTATGAGTCCTAGGGATTATTGAACTCTCACTAACTGTTTTGTGCAATCAATCTCCTTAGTATATTGCTACCAATTGCTTAATATCTATGTAAGATTTTGTGGTTTTGACCCATTTTAGAAACTATCAATAAAGCCCTATGCTGATCATGTTTTAAACAACTACGCTTTGTCCAGGTCACTACTAAATCATTAACAAGGAATAAAAAGAGAATGTCCAAACTATAAGATGGTCTTCTCATTTGTTTTCTTAATAAGAATGGTAATTGGAGAAGGTTCATGTAAAATAATGGATGGTTCAATATATTAGGACAATGGTTGATGATTTATTTAAACTTTGTAAACATGAGGGTGAAATGTGAGCTTCTGTCTATTTTGTGTAGGGCAATTACTGAACTCATGACCTGCCTGTGAAGAGTCACATGTCTTACTATCAGGCTCGTTTAGGCTTTAGCATTTTTAGTAAACGTATCTATATCTGTTGACTGCAGGAGCAGAAATGAAGTCTATTTGAACAGGTAGAGTTAATACTTTATTGACTTCTTTCTCAGGATTCTATTAGGAACTACAACCACTTAAATTGTGTCATTTCTTTCTGAATCTGAGTATAACTGTTGGGTTATTTAGATAGTAATTAGTCAATATTGTAAGGACCTATTTGTAAGAGTGCCCTTATATAAAAGGGGTATCTATCTATGAGAGAAAAAAACCCTAATCTTTCTACATGGTATCAGAGCCAAATCTCACCTAGCCGCCTCCCTCTTCTGAGCCAAATCCACCATACAGACTGATATTCGGGAAAGCTTGCCACCTACCAGTAGAATTGGAACATCGAGCAATGTGGGCGATTAAACAGATAAACTTTGACTCAGACTCGGCAGGTAAAAACAGATTGCTCCAAATAAATGAGTTGGAAGAAATTCGGAATGATGCATACATAAACTCAAAAATTTACAAAGAGAAAACAAAAATTTTTCATGACAAATCAATTTTGCGAAAAAATTTCTCTCCAGGACAGAAAGTTTTATTGTACAATTCAAAATTGCATCTTTTTCCGGGAAAATTAAGATCAAGATGGACTGGTCCATTTTTTGTTAAACAAGTTTTTCCACATGGAGCTGTCCGCGCACTTGACCCCCAGCCCCACGTGCCCGTTCCCGTCCCCGACGACGACGAACGCCTTGAACCGGGTCCGCTGACCGGCGCGCGTCTGCTTCTGGACCGGCATGATCTTCATGACCTCGTTCTTGAGGCTGGGGCAGAGGGTGTCGATGATCTGGTGCTCTTTGACGGCGAGAGAGTGGAGGTAGATCTCCTCCAGGCTGCGGATCTTGTCCGATTTCACGAGACGGTTCCTCCGACGACGAAGACGAAGGAGGACGGGACGCCGTCGTTTGAGATCCGAGGACGTGGTGAAGGGAACTCCGGCGGCGATGATGGGGAACATGGGTGTAGTTGACCTCCGGTTGAAGAGGCTCTGCTGTTTTAGTGAAGGAGGATCAAGGGGAGGATCAAAAGCTTCATCTTGCTCGCATCTAGGGTTTCAGTGAGCTGGAAGACGAAGATCCGGGCCGAAAACTGCGAGATTCAAGGGGAAATTGAGTGGATATGAGGCTAGAATTTTAGCTGAGAGAGCGTGGAGTTTGTTGAAATTTTGAGGGGAATTTTTTAGCTGCGAGATTCGTGAAGTTTGTTGAAGCTGCGAGATTCGTGAAGTTTGTTGAAATCTTGACAGCCACTCATAACTGTTGCTGATTAGTAATCTGTATTAGAAAAGTAGAAAAAAAAGGAGGAAAAATGGATTTGTAATCTGTATCAGATGATTAGGTAAAAAAAAAAAAAAAAGGGAGAGAGGTTCTTGATTTGTAATAGTTTATTTAGGTTCCCTCGACAAGTCAGTCCTAGAACTGATGAGAGAAGAGCTGATATCTCCCTTTGTTGAGATATCTTGCTTCTGGTTCTTGTTTCCTTGGTGAAACAGGAATTCTTGTTGATCTATCTATTCTGTTGTACTGTCGAAGTGCTGCCGGAATTTTTTCGTTGTGCACCACAAGAATACAATTTGGATCGATGACAAAGACTGAAAAAAATCCGATGGAGGAGATCATCAAGAAGTTGAACAACCTGAGGGCATTCCAGATCGAGAAGGAGATCAGCGCTATAGTCCAGGGAGAGAGGACTGTACAGGAGTACGCCACAGAGCTGGAGCGCTTGTGGCTCGATCATGATCACTTCTCGCCCTTAGCGAGCTGCAAGGACCCTGAGTGCAAGGAGCGCGAGGCCTCTTTGCAGAAGAAGACCATGTTGTTTCTTCGAGGATTGGCTCCAGCGTATGAGCAGAGGACGGCATTGCTACTAACCCAGACGAAGATCCCATCACTGGAGAAGGCAGTCTCGGCCATGATACAGGAGGAGAGTCGTATCAGGCTACGGTCTGGGATAAGTGGACTTACAGGGGAGAAGTCTGCACTGGTGGTATCCAACCCGGATAACACTGGATTCAGAGGGGAGACTAGGCAGTGCTTTAACTGCGGAGAGGTAGGGCATCTGAGACAGATGTGCCCTAAGCCACCCAGGAAAAGGAACTGGGGTGAACGTGGTCAGACTGGTGGTTGTGCAGGTCGTGGAGGCAGGGGGCGTGTAAGCCAAGGAGTTGCTCACCTAGCTGTGGCAGATGAATCTCAGACTACTGCTGGGATGACTGGAGCTGAAATAACAGAGCTGGAGGAACTACGTCTGTTCAAGCTTCAGGCTGAGAGGTCGAAGGGCAAGGGACAAGTCACCCAGGATCTAGCTACCACTACATGCTTTGGTAACTTTATTGGTTATGCTCATGCGACCAAAGGTACACAGGTTCAGGCACTTGCATCCACTAAAACTCATGTTGATTGGATCATAGACTCAGGTGCATCTAGGCATGTCACAGGAACATCTAGTGAGTTTGCATTATATTATCCGAGTAAGCATATGCATCCTGAGACAGTTCAGACTGCTGATGGGACATCCCAACCCATCAGGGGTACTGGCTCGGTCCATTGCACTTCATCTGTTACCTTGTCATCTGTATTGCATGTTCCTTCGTTTTCAGTTAACTTACTCTCAGTTAGCTCTCTCATTGACCAATTAAATTGCACCGTGTTATTTGATCGAGATTTGTGTGTCTTCCAGGAGAAGGAAACGGGGAGGAGGATTGGGACTGGTATTAGACGTGGGTATCTTTGGTATTTGGACAGGGAGACTGCAGTGATTGCTGCTGCTGTTAGCGGAGGGCCAGAGGCAGAAGCAATGCTTCAACATTGCCGGTTAGGGCATTTATCTTTTGAGAGTTTAAATAGATTAGAACCCGAGTTAATGAAGAAAGTGGATAGAAAAGAGTTATTTTGTAATGCCTGTGAACTTGGAAAACATACTCGTTCTACTTATAGAATGATTGGTCTTCGAAGTTGTGAACCATTTGCACTTGTCCATTCTGATGTTTGGGGACCATGTCCTACTACCTCTATCAGTGGTTTTAGATGGTTTGTTACTTTCATTGATTGTTATTCACGTATGACCTGGATATACATGATGAAGCAGAAATCAGAGGTTTACAAATGTTTTCAAGATTTCTCGGCTTATGTGAAGACACAGTTTGGAGTGCAGGTGAAGATTCTTCGAACAGATAATGGGACTGAGTATGTCAATAAGGAGTTTGCAGCTTTCATCTCTAATCAGGGAATTGTTCATCAAACCACCTGCCCAGACACCCCTGCTCAGAATGGGGTGGCTGAGCGTAAGAACAGGCATCTACTGGAAGTGGCACGCTCATTGATGTTGACAATGAATGTGCCTAAGTTTTTATGGAGTGAGGCTGTCATGACGGCAGCTTATTTGATCAATAGGATGCCATCAAGAGTATTAGGGATGAAGACACCGTGTGAGATGCTCTTGGGCTTGAATGTCTTTGTTGTTCCACCAAGAGTGTTTGGATGCACATGTTATGTGAGAGATCACAGGTTGATGGTGAGTAAACTGGATCCGCAAGCAGTTAAATGTATCTTTGTTGGCTACTCATCAAGTCAAAAAGGATACAAGTGTTGGTGCCCTTCTGAAAGAAGGCTGTTTGTCAGTATGGATGTGACTTTTCGGGAGTTTGAACCTTTTTATGGGGAGAAGACGGAGTTGAGTTCCTTGTTCGAAGATGGCTCTACTGATGCCAGTAGAGAGGGGGAGAATGAGAATGAGAATGATATTGTGGTCGGGATGATTCCATGTCCTCTTGAGTCACCGAGTAGTGATGGTACACCGCCGAGTAGTGGTGGCGACTCAGGAGGTGACAGTCAAGGTCAGGGGGAGCTGAGAGTATACACGAGGAGACAGAAACAGCAACATGAGCCGCCTCATGTGCCTATGCCAGTGCCCACAAATGTTGATGTCCCAAGTCCCTCCTCTCCAGTGACTTCTCCACCTGAATCGATAGGTAACGAGTTCTTCCCTGATACTTCTAATACTCCCGTCTTACCCCGTAGAACCTCCAGAGTCAATGCTGAAAAACCTCCAGCTAAGTTTGGTAATTGGGATACTGACATTGCGAATTACATTTCATATGCATCCATTCCACCTGCATATAAGTCATTCATTGCATCATTGCATTCAGTGCCTGTACCTAACAACTGGCAGGTCGCTAAGCAAGACCCTAGATGGTTGAATGCCATGCACGAGGAACTCCAGGCCTTGAAGAAGAATGACACATGGGAGTTGGTACCTTTGCCAGCTGGGAAGCGTGCTGTTGGATGTAAGTGGGTGTATACGGTTAAGCAAACTCCAGAGGGCAAGATCGACAGATACAAAGCCAGATTGGTTGCTAAAGGCTACAGTCAAACGTATGGCATTGACTATGACGAGACATTTGCTCCAGTAGCAAAGATGAGTACTGTTAGAGTGTTGGTGTCATGCTGCCAACTTTAATTGGCCACTACATCAGCTAGATGTCAAGAATACCTTTTTGCATGGAGATCTTCAAGAGGAGGTATATATGGAGATTCCACCAGGCTTCACTACTTCTCAAGTAGCTGGGAAGGTGTGCAAGTTGAAGAAGTCTTTGTATGGGTTAAAACAGTCTCCGAGGGCATGGTTTGATAGATTCAGGTTGGCAGTTTGTGGTATGGGGTACAAGCAGTGCAATGGTGATCATACTGTGTTTTACAGGCACTCCAAAACTCGTATCACTATCCTGGCGGTCTATGTTGATGATATTGTAATCACTGGAGATGACGCTGAGGAAATCCTACTGTTGAAGAAGAAATTGGGAGAGGAATTTGAAGTTAAAGATCTGGGGCAGTTGAAGTACTTTCTCGGAATTGAAATTGCAAGGTCGCGAAAGGGTATAGTGCTTTCTCAGCGGAAGTATGCTCTGGATCTTCTCTCAGAGACAGGGATGTTGGGGTGCAGAGTTGCATCTACTCCTATTGAGCAGAATCATAAGATGAGTGCCGAGGGTGGGGACCCTGTGAGTAAAGAGCAATATCAAAGATTGGTTGGACGACTTATATATTTATGCCATACGAGACCTGATATTACTCATGCCGTAAGTGTGGTGAGTAGATATATGCATGATCCCAGAGAACAGCATATGGAGGCAGTTCGCAGAATTCTTAGATATATTAAGGGAAGCCCAGGAAAGGGGTTGTGGTTCAGAAGTTCTGGACATCTGAGAATTGAAGGCTATTGTGATGCTGATTGGGCGGGTTGTATGGATGATCGTAGGTCCACTACAGGCTACTGTGTATTTGTTGGAGGCAATCTCGTATCTTGGCGTAGCAAGAAGCAAGATGTGGTGGCTAGGTCTACAGCTGAGGCAGAGTACAGGGCTATGGCAGTTGGTCTGTGCGAGTTGATGTGGGTCAAAAACATATTATCTGAGCTGCGCTTGTTTAGAAGAGACTCCTTACAACTTTGGTGTGATAACAAATCGGCGATTAACATTGCAAACAATCCAGTTCAGCATGATCGCACCAAACATGTGGAGATCGATCGGTTCTTTATCAAGGAGCAACTGAATAGAGGAGTTCTGACCTTGAGCTATGTGAAATCAGAAGAGCAGTTAGCTGATTGTTTAACAAAAGGATTAGGTTCTAGAGAGTGTGATATCTTTTGTAACAAGATGGGGATGATTGATATCTATCGCCCATCTTGAGGGGGAGTGTTGGGTTATTTAGATAGTAATTAGTCAATGTTGTAAGGACCTATTTGTAAGAGTGCCCTTATATAAAAGGGGTATCTATCTATGAGAGAAAAAAACCCTAATCTTTCTACAATAACATATAGTTATCTCTTTTCTCATTATGAGTGTTTGTAGTTACCCTTGGTAATAAGTTTAAGCTTGTGAAAGTATAAGTAAATGACACTGTTAATAATTCAGAACTGAATAGTAGCTATGTTCAAGTTATGTCAGACAGTCAGAGTTGATGATTAAATTGTCCAGTGCGATGCTTTATATAATAATTCAGCTTTTTTCATTATGAATGATGTTAAACTGATCCTGTTACAAATCTAGATCTCACTGAAATGTGGTTCAAGCTATTATGTTCGAACCTGAATGACTCAGTAGTTAGAGGCCTGCTAGCTCATTCTTATAATCCTGGATCAAGTTTAAATTGGTGGAAATATATAATACTTGAGATAATTCATCTAACCTATTTGAACATCTAACCAGCATTCGGGACACGGGGAGTGGCCTTTTCATCATAGGGAATGATGGCTGCAATAAAAGCTTTATACTGATTCATTTTGTTCTGTTTATGACTGCTTGTTTTTAGATTTTGCTGTATAGTTTCTGTAATTGGAGCTCTCTTTTGTATTCTGTCTTATGACCAGCTTACCCTTGAATTGTTTTAATCAGGAATTTTCATTTTTAGTTAATTTTTTAAATCTTTCTTGTGGCATATGTTTCTGGGACTAATTCTGTGTATGGGTAAATGACAGATTAAGAATCTATTGGACATTGTTCATTGCATTGCTGGTATAAAAACTAGTGAGTACAGCTCATTGGAATCCTTGAGTTCGTACCTGGAAGAATTAAATGGTGTTATTAGCAATAGGAAGGTTGACGCCCTTATAATTGAGACCTTTGGAAGACGGATAGAGAAGCTGCTGCAGTGAGTTTATGCTATCTATTTAATTAGATGCTCTTTTGAACTATCTCTAATACTATTGAAACCTGAAATCTGATATTGCTGTAACTTTTTATTGGAATGCAGCTTTCATTATTTTTCTAGTACTTCGTACTTGCAAGCACTCTGTTGGTTGTCTGGTTATGTCTTCTAGCCATTTGATTCCTTGATGGATCTTAAACCATTTTCATTTGACAGGGAAAAGTTCATTCAGCTGTGTGGACAAATAGATGATGGGAATAAAGATTCCCCATGCGTAGAGGTCGATGATGATGGTTCTGCAGATGATAGAAGTCATAGTTCTCAACATTTGTGCACAAAACTCAAGGACCGTACATCTATTGAAGATTTTGAAATCATAAAACCTATTAGCCGAGGGGCATTTGGAAGGGTTTTCCTAGCAAAGAAAAGAATAACAGGCGATTTTTTTGCAATAAAGGTGATCTTCCCTTTTTTTTCTGGTATAAGTGTACTTGAACGGAAAAATGATTTCTTTTCGTACAATTACTAGCGGCATCTGTGTTATGTCATTGAAATATTATACATGTCTATCTTATGGACTTCTAATCTCTCTTCTGTTTCTATGGATTTTTTTTAATGAGTTGCTTGTTTCCTACGTGATTTGAGCTACGCAGATATTTTTTGCATAGTTCCTTCATTTCCTGTGCATTTGCTATCCTGACATAAATTTTGAAATTTAACTGTTCAAGATGAAAGTAAGATAATTATTTAAACGTATGCTTCATTTTAAATTAGCAAGTCGCATGATTAATGGTAAACGTGTAAGTATTTGGTGAGGTAGAATGGCAAATTGAGAGTATACGTCTTCTTCCTACCTGTGAATTTGACTATGGTTGCTACTTGGTTTTGATTTTAAGAATTGTTTTCTTTGTGCATCTCTGATTTTATTTTGTGCCTTAGAGTTGACTGCAATCACCTGTAGGGAGAACCAGCCCTTGGCTGTATGAGCTTATTTATATCATCAATAAGGTAGGTTTCTCTATGTACCCAATATCCTTGCAGGGTTTGTGGAAGGCTTATGTCTTGTTCACCATCAATGGCTAGGAATTTGGCACCAACAGAGGTTAATCAGGTTGATAGCCGGTTGCAAAATTTGGTCACTCTTCCTATAATGTGTTGTGCTCCATTTCTTCCCCAGTTTGTTGCTACATTAACACAAAGCAAATAAACAGAGATTTCACCTTATATGGTGGACTTTTAAGGTTGTTTCACGTAATTTTCCCCCTTTTTTGAATCTTATATTCTTCTGACTTTTAAGCCTTTTCAGTTAGATATGAGCTAACAGTCAAGTTATTCCCTGCGAGAAAAAAGTTGTATTGATTGTAAAAATACACCGACTAATGAGTGATGTCCACTATAGTTGTAGTGTACCATAAATCTTTATAGAGAGATTTTCGGTAGCTAGCGGTTAAATGATTGTGAATAACACCAACTATTTTAGTATTATATATCATCATAGCAAAGAAATGTGTATCTTCTCTATATGCACCTTTAAGCGTACAATGTTATAATCAAAATACTAAGCAGGTCCACTAATGTATTTGAGCGGCACTTCACTACATATGCTGAAGGAAAAGCATCATTAGAATGCAAAGCATTGTGTCAGTTCTAACATTTGCTTTGTGTAAAAAGCAACAGTTAGATTCAATATATTTACTTTTCTTTGTCTCATAAAGCAACACACCTTTATCACTTTAGCACTTGCTGCTGTGTAACATCCTCCCAGACAAGGAGTTACTGCATTTACTTTTCTTTGATGTTTTTGGCTAATTCTTGGTGTCCTTCACTGTTTCTTTTGAGAATTTGCATTTTTATTCCATATATTGTTAGTTGACATATGACTATGCAGAAAAAGGAGACTTTGATGCTTGGATAGTCTGAAAAACTTCACATTTGAAGTTTATATCTGTTAAAGGCCCCCTACCTGCTTGCATAGTGCTAATTCTAGGTGAATCAGATCACATTTACATCAATTGTATGTGAAATGGGCATATGGATAGTGAAATGTATATTGACATAGCAGCAATGAGTTGGTCAGGAGTTGACATTCGAGAAGGAAGTAGCTGAGACAGTGTTGAACAGAAGGGTAAAAGATTGAAGTATTGATGTGGATCCAATTGCAATTCTCAACACTGATTTAAACAAATAAAATATAATGCTGGCAATGTGAGTTGGACTTTGCTATTTGGCACTCATCAAGTTAGAATTATATGTAATTTATTCTTTTTCTTATAAAAAATCCTCATCTAACATCCTTTGTTTCCTGTTCTCTGGACACATGCAAAGGTCTTTTCTACTCAATAAGTGTATTATCTTTTCAGTGCCACATTTTCAGATAATATACTGGCTGATCAACCAAATTTTCTATCCAAGTAAGCTCATCAAGTGTCTTAATTTAAAACTAGTAATCAGAAACAGAGCAACAATGAGTTAGGATTTTTATTTCTGCAGTGTGCAATTTTAAACTAGATCATCTATGCTGCTTGGTATCAAGATATAACACCACGTCATATCAATATTTGTATTATTTTCTTCTGCCAAATATTTCTGCAGGCAGATCTGTTTATACATAAGCAATAAGCTGTTTAACTGAATAAAACATATTTTCCTTTGGTAATCTTCCATAAGAATGACTCGTGACTTCTAATGACTTAATAAAATATGATTCTTCAAGGAAATAATACCGTATTCCTCATCTATATAGGTTCTTAAAAAGTCTGATATGATTCGTAAGAATGCAGTTGAAAGTATCTTAGCTGAGAGGAACATCCTCATCTCAGTTCGCAATCCGTTTGTGGTGAGCAGGTTTCCAAGCTTGCAAATTTCAGACTGTTTAGTGGAGATATGTTCTAATTTTGATTGTAATCAACAGGTCAGAATCTTTACTTGGTCATGGAGTACCTGAATGGGGGTGATCTATACTCTTTACTGAGAAATTTAGGTTGCCTGGATGAAGAAATGGCACGAACATACGTTGCTGAATTAGTAAGCGCATATTTACTTGTTTATCCTTTCTGAAAAGACATTACTTTGTTATCTTCGAATGCCAAAGGAAACTCCAACTTAGATGGTGATATACATCTAGTCTGTATCTGTTTCAGGTTCTTGCACTGGAATACTTACATTCGCTGAGTGTCATTCATCGAGATCTGAAGCCAGATAACTTATTAATTGGTCGTGATGGTCATATTAAGGTTAGTATCTCATTGGTTTCATGTACTTTATTTATGATTCATTATTACTTCTTATTCTTCTGGTTTAACTAATAAGAAAAGAAAACCATCGTTTCTCAATTCAATTTAAATTTGTTTCTGTCTGTTAGTAATCGAAGCGAAGAGAGAATTTTAATTATGTTCCATGGAGTTGGTATGCAGAAATATGGAGGCCCTAAGTTGGCCCTTCTAGAACTGAATTTTAATAAAGGGTTTCATATTGCTAACCCCAAGAATTGGGACAAGTATCTCTCTTTTTAATGGATGCTGTAGTAACAAACTACAGATTCTAGCGCACGTATGAGTGCATTGGATCCCTCGACAGAATAATAAAAATAGGATCCATGATTTGCTATTAGTATAGGGATGAAAAAGTAGCTTCTCTTGATGATATATATACGATATTTAAATTGAACATGATTTAAATTCTTGAAGGATTTGTAACTTTTTTTAGCCAGTGTTCACTGTTGCGTACGCCTGATGCACAATAACAATATGGAAAGACATTCATTTTTTCAATTGATAGAAATACCTTTCTTTATAGGCTTACAGTTCTGCAGTTCACCATTTTTATACTTCATTTTACTTCTTTTTAAAAAAAATACAGTTCTCACAAAGTTCTTTATCTGCTGGTACAGCTGACTGATTTTGGACTGTCTAAGGTTGGTCTTATCAACAGTACTGATGATTTATCGGGCCCAGATGTTAGCAGTGTCGTTCTCCAAAGTGAGCATAAACCAATTCCTGCATCTGTTCGAGCAGAGATAAGAGAGCAGAGGAGAAAGCAGTCAGCTGTTGGCACACCTGATTATTTGGCACCTGAGATCCTTCTCGGAATGAGCCATGGTTTGTCATACTAACAAACCTTTATATTGGCGTGCATGCATGCATGCATGTGAGCATTGGTGCACATGCATGTGCATGTCAGTGTATTCATCTCATATTATTTTTCACTTGTAATTCTTGAATTGTAGGTCAGACTGCAGACTGGTGGTCTGTAGGCGTTATTCTTTTTGAACTTCTAGTTGGCATTCCCCCATTCAATGCGGAACACCCACAGGTATGCTATTTCACAGTTCAGTGGTTCAAAGGTTGGTCGATGATATTCTATTAGTGTTTAGATTACCTTATTTACATGACAAATCTTATTGGAATTGATAAAGAGCTAACAATGTGTAAAATAAAATAAATGAAGAGAAAAAAATCATGAGTGTCAGCTAAAAACATAATTGATAATCCTTTATTGTCTTAATTAGGTAGAATGCACTGTAATGTAAAAAATTTATAGATGTTCCAGAAAAGGGGAAAAGGTTCATCATATTTACATGAAACTTATTGGAAGTTAACTCTTTTAATATCTAGAGTTGTAAATTACTAGATGTTTGGGATTTATGATTGCTAACTGACAACTGTTGTGAACAAAAGACAACTATAAAAGTATAAATATAATTGAATGTGTTCATATACTGGGAAGAAGTCATGATTAAAAATAACTTGTATTAGTAATGTGGCTAGATTTGGACTTTTTATCTTATATGTTTCCTTTTGTACTGATCCATGCTGTTTAACTGCAGAAAATTTTTGATAATATTATGAACCGAGATATACCCTGGCCACATGTTCCGGAGGAGATAAGCCATGATGCTTATGACTTGGTTGACAAGTGAGAATCATAGAATTCCATGCTCCTTCTCTGTTTAACCATTCACAGAAAGTTCAAACATTTTGTTATTATTTCCTTACTTTGATTCTATTTAGGGTTAGTTGCAGATAGACCCCCGGTATTATCACTGTTTTGAACTTACTACCCCTCTAGTTTCATTGTTGCAGATAGACCTCCTGATTTAAAATTTCTGACTCTCGTACCTTCAGAGAAAGTTGTTTTTGACAAGTATGTCCCTTAATGGTAAAAGAGTAAAAAAATTGCTTAGGGGGTCTATCTTCAACAATAAAACTAGAGGGGTAGTAATTATAAAACAAGTGATACAACAGGAGGTCTATCCACAATTAACCCATTTAATTTAATTGTTAAGACTACTTGCACTATTGCTTGTGACAAGTCATATATAATCCGAAGGTCATCAGAACTGAAAATTAAGTGATAATAAAACAATGTGAAATGAAGTTCTTGGCATTTTTAAAGTAAAAAAGAAAAAAAATCATAAAGATAATGTTTGCATCTCAGTACATCTACCATCTTGCTTTTTTGCTTTTCGTTCAGATTACTGATCCAAAATCCACTTCAAAGACTTGGAGCAACTGGAGCAGGAGAGGTAAATCTCATTTGTTATGATGAACCCGATGCGTATTATATTCTTCAATTCTGAAACAAGTTTGGTCATTAGGACAGGTGAAGTCACATCCCTTCTTCAAAAGCATCAACTGGGATATGCTCGCACAAAAGAAGGTGATTTTGTGGAACTTGAAAAAGGCCGTTTATACCCATGATATGTAATCTATCACCATAATCATGACAATTTAAGATGATAACTATTTGATGCAGGCTGCATTCATTCCTTCAACAGAATGTGAAGATGACACAAGTTATTTTGCTTGCCGTCATGAGTGGAATTCAGCAGATGGTCAAATTCATGCATCACCAAATGATGATTATGAATGCTCAACTGATTCAGGCAGTAGAAGCTGCTCCAGTAGCCCATACAGTTATGATGATAATGAGGATGTATGAAGATCACCTTTTGATCTTATTGTTCTTTTTTCCGTTTCTTTATGGTAATTGAACTTTCAACCGACAGTTTTTTCCCTCCCTTGCTTTTGGTATCTATTCAACAGGATGATGAATGTGGCAGTATGACGGAGTTTGGAGCTCCAAAGAAGTACTCATTTAGTAACTTCTCATTTAAGGTAGGACATTCCAACCGTGTACTTTCTGTACATTATGAGTAGATCCAAAGAAAAAAATCTAATGTAGCTTTTCAATCCCTTTTCTCAGAATATATCTCAGCTGGCTTCCATAAACTATGATCTCATAACAAAGTCAAGTGAAGATGAGGCAAATGCTTGCAATCCTTAAGATACCTTTTTTTTTTTGGAGAAAATGGAATCTTAATACCCCTTGTGTTTTCAAAATATCGGGAAGTTCTGCCGACATCTTGTTCATATGATACGTGGATATAGGAAGCTGCCAACATGCAGTGGCGATGCCAGTTTACCTCTGTTGCCAATATGTTGGTTCAAGCTGAGCCCTATTAGGGTGAAGTTCTTCCTGTTTTGATTCTTTCATTCTTTTTCTAGTAGGCTATTTTAGTTCTTAGATATGCATTGGTTGTATGTATAGATTTAACTTTTTTTTTCCTTGACTGGGTACGTTTCTTTTTGTTAACCAGTTTTGGTGATTCAGCACAGTAACATTTAGTGTAAAGATTTACCATTTCATCCAAATACCATATGAAGAGTTTCCCTCAGGGAATGTTTTAATCTTTGTAGGATTTCTGTTTCCAATTGTCCTAAGAATTTTTCTTTCTTTCTTTTGTGTGTGTGTGTGTGTGTGTGTGTGTGTGTTTGGGGGGGGGGGGGGGGGGGGGGGGGGGTGCCATTAAGATTATGTCAAAGAATGTGATTCATATTCCAATTGACTTTGCAATTTCATACTACGAAAATTTTTTCATTAACGTGAGACAATTATTTCCACATGCAACACACGTGCACTATATTGCAGTAACTAAATTAGGATCCTGTGATTCCATCATCGTGGAAGTAGTGAACCCTAATTTACTAACCGAGCCTGTTGTAATTCATAGTTCCCTTTTTACAATTTACGAACCACTTTTTTGTGTAAGAGTACATGTACAGTCATATAAGCAACTATTGATTCAATCATTCTGTAGAGCCATTTCAAAATCTACCCCAATTTATCCCCACAATGGGCTAAATTACCAAATTGGTATTTTTATTCGACCATGTTTGCCAATTTGATATATTTAAAAAACCCGGCGACAACAAGATATTTTTTCTCAGCCTTTTAGTCAATAAGGCCCATTTTTCGCGTTGGCGGCCAAAAGCCAAGTGGCGAATGGCTCACGTGACAAAATTTATGCTGACACGTGACAATTTATGCTGACATGGGTGTTGACATAACTATTCCTATCGAAATCACTCTCTTCTATCACGTCGCTCTCTTCTGCTTCATGATGAACTTCTCCATCACTTGCTTTCTTGATAGTTATTGTGATTCCCTCTTCATTGACAGAATCATGTCCAGGCTCTTCTCTCTGTTGCATTGCACAAGCACCACTAGTTCCATGAGGTCTAAGAGCAGAACTCAATGTCACTAAAACCATTCATTTTCTTATTTTTTGCTAACAGACAAATCATGGGCTTCCTTCCTCTTCTCCTTCATGCTCCTCCACCAATTTGGGTACCCGAGTAACACAGAGCTCTACATTCTTCAAACTAATGCCGTAAGTTCTCCAAGCAATCTCCCGTGTATCATTCAGACGTGGAATAAAATTCGGTATACCTTGATCCAAACCGAACTGCGTTGCCACCCGATGAGGGTTGATATTGTTCGATACAATCCAACCCTACCAATTCACAAGCCCTCAAACACTTAGCAAATGACTGGAAAACTTCATCGGAGTTTTCTCTCTTTTTCTTCCATTAAGCCACGTAAGGCTGCCACTGAAAATTACAAGGGTCCTCAGAGAACCTTCATTACGAATGAAGCCCTCGGAATACTAGAGCCAACCCTCAGATGCAGAAACCTCTTTCGAAGCCACACCTGAACTATATTCATAGGCGCGCATAAAGGATACAAATATTTTCGATTCTTGCAAAGATTTTCTTTCACTGCTTGCAACTCTCGGTAAATCGAACCGCAACTTGAAACACACATTCTCCAATTGTCCCGCCGTCGCCTGTAATCAGCACAAATCCTGACAACCACATGGATGAGAGCGCGATGTGCACTATTTCATCCCCTTTTCCTCTTCCAATGTAATTTATCATGTTTCTCTCGTGCACGGCGTCCAGTCAGACCGGAAGGTGCGCGTTCTTGAAAAAATTAGGCACCGTGATGTAGTAGTGCCCCGAGTCCATCTCTATCATTCCTGGCCGTTGATGGACCCTCCTAGAAGCCACTGGGGGTGAACTAGCTTCAGAATGCCTGGTTTCCTTTCTCCTCTTAACGGTGGCCATGAGGTTCTTACTCTCAAAGACACCTTTATGCGCCAGAGAGTGAAGTGAATTTTTTTTGAAGGGACTACATCTGTTGGTGATTTATCTGAGGCAATGATATTAAAGGCGCACACATCCCTGCCCTTGGTGTGCCCTGCGATGCGGGATGGTCGCGAATTGCCCCGTATCTATGGCAATGGTGTCTTTGTGCATCTTGCATGTGCCCTGCGTGCGGGTGCTTCACACGAGGCATAAACTCGTATATTTTTATTCTTCATCATTCCATTTGGTTCTTTAAACCTGTAATCCACATCTCAAAAAGAAAAATAAATCCATTAGACCATTTTAGTAGCCCGATTGAGGACCCTAACTCATCATCATCTACTATTTGATTTATTTTTCCCAATTTTAGTCTCGATTTGACTATTGATTTGTAAAATTTGGAACTTTACTATTATGTCGGGCATGTTAACGTCATAAATTAATACCTTGTTTGGAGATTTGGTAGTAGATATTATTTATCTTGACATATTTTTATGTGGAAATTCATAAACAAGTTCGTTCATGCTTGATTATCTATCCTGAAAAATTATGTCGATCCTGTGAGCCTTGCTTCGCTCGGGCGTGAGCATTGTTGGATAACTTTTTAAACTAAAGTCCAAAAAGCTTGCAACCATCTTTGAAAATTAAAAGTCCAAAAGTGCAGTTATGCAGCAAAGTTTAAAATAAGTTTTTAAAACGCGAAAACGTGGGTTGCTGAACGTTAAAAATTTAGGACGCGGGCCCCACATGCATAGTAAAATATATTATTTTATTAGTGCATAGTATTTTCCCAAATGCTATAAATAGACTCCAAATCCTTAAGAAAAATTCATTCAAAAAATAACAATCAATATATACAGATATATATGTTGTAGAATAGCTAGTTCTTATAGGAACAGTGCCTAGACCGAGAAGGTCTTATAGATCGAGGAGATCTTTGCCTGATAGATCGAGGGGATCTTTGCCTGATAGATCGATGAGATATTTGCCTTATAGATCGAGAAGTAGGTCGGTGCACACCAGAGTACTGGACTGCTGTTCCTGGAAGCAATTTGGCCTTGGGATTCTTGCACCGGAGTAGGCCAAATAATGCTTTAAGCACAGCGTTTTACAAACGCACAGTAGCTGAGTTGAAAATTTTTAAATTACTGCACCTCAGTTTTCTGTTCAGTTTTTTGCTGTTATATATCTGTATTATTCCAGATTTAACCACAGGCGCCAACAAACATCACATTGTGCCTCGTGCATGTGCGCGTAAAGAAACTTTGCACTCCACGTTGCACATCTAGTTTTGATAACACTGATCTGAGGTTTCTAAAGTGCGCACGTTTTCTTGTTTGGTGACATTTACTATGAGAAGGTTGCTATGCAAGCGCATTGGGATCCAAGGTCAGTGGCATTTGTCTGTTCTGTGTGATGTACTTGATGCTTTGGCATATAGAGGAAAATGACCTGAACCTTGGATGGTTGTTTGTACGCTGTAGGTGAAGTACTTATAACTTAACTAGCACTGAAATGGACATACGAATACCATAGATTTCAGACAGAGATAATTTGAAAGCAATACATAAAGTAAATTACAAGGAGACAAGGAAATTCATGCCTCAAATAATTCACCAACGTTTAGCAGAGTTTGTGCTACAAAACATATAACATATGAACCTTTACATCTTATTGGATTGGATTATACATCAAGTGTTTCAAATAATAGAGGAACAGTCAATAGAAGATCCACTTCAGAATCTGAGGTTCCACAACCCTCAACCAGGAACTGCTCACTCTTCCACAATGTCCTCCTCTGCAATTGAGTGATCTTAGTTTATAAAATCTCTGTAATCAAACATAGTAGTCAATATGCGTCAACCTGTTGCCATTCAACGAGGACAAATACTCAAGTGGTCTTGTATAACACTGGACAATCAGATAAGCGTTTTAGTTATGAAACTTCCAAGTAATATGCACTGGCAAGGTCCTTTGGCAAAGATAAGCATTTTAGTACATCTACCGTCTTGCTTCTTTTGCTTTTTCATTCAGATTATTGATCCAAAATCCACTCTAAAGACTTGGAGCAACGGGGACATGAGAGTTATGATGAACGCAATGCATGTTGTATTCTCCAGTTCCGAAACAATTTTGGTCATTAGGACGGGTAAAATCACATCCCTTCTTCAAAAACATCAACTGGGATATGCTCGCACAAAAGAAGGTTATTTAGCCGAACATGAGTTCATGATCGCTTGAGATGATATTGTTGTGCGCAGCAGAAATTTCGGCAGAGTTTCTGGTGCACAATAAGAGAGAAATATCGATAAGAATTCTTGTTTCTCAAAGGGAACAAGAATCTGAAGCCTAATATCCCATCAAAGTGGGATATTTGCTCTTCCTCTCGTCAGCTCTAGGACTGTGCGTCGAGGGATCCTAAAAAACTATTACAATGGCCACAAACTCAAACAAACAATTTTACGTGGTTCGGCAAACTGCCTACGTCCACGGGGCAAGGAGGGGGAGATCTACTATTATAGAGAAAAAGAATACAAATGGGTTTACAACTCTCACAATCTAAACCCTCAAATAGGCTCATTGCTTTTCTTCACAAGAAAAGGTCAGCCTCCAAATACTTTTTCTCTCTTCACAAAACCCAAGACAGCCACCTCTCTCTCTCCGCACTGTAGCCGCCAAAAGACCCTGCACCCCCTCAATTTTCTCTCTGCCTTGCTCCTGTTCCGCAGCCGTCAACCCTTCCGTGCACGCTGCCAACGAACAAGAGAGAAAACACTTGGCCGTAATTAATTTCACGCTCTCCCCTACTTGCTCGCACGAAACCCTAGAATAGTTAGAGAATTTATAGGCTGATAGCAATCGGGTGGGCCTCACATTCATGTGCTCTATCTTCTCACGCGGAAAGGGAAACAGCCGAAACACAATGCTCTCGTTCACGTGCTCTCCCTGCAGTTGAAGAATTGTTTCACACACGTGAGTGGGTGGGCCCCCATGTTTGCTCACAATTCTCCACCTCGGTGAAGTTTTCACAAAACTGAGCCGACACCAACCAAACTAAATGTCTCACTTGTTGTGTCCAGTACACCGTGAAATAATTCACGACAACAGACTCAATCCATAACAAGTCGAGACCCAAACGGGAGTGCGAACACTCACCCAAATATCGGTATCAACTCACCAAATCGATCTCACCCCCATCCAATCCAAACCCGGCTGCATCATAAAGACTGCCTACGTATCCTCTTACCCAAGGAATCAAG